GCCGTCCCCCCGGGGGGCGGGGGGGCCGCGGCCACCCCATCCCCTCGGCGGCCGCCCTTCGTCCCAGCGCGTCCCTCAGAGGTTGTCGGAGCCGGCGGCAGGGCTGGTGTAGGTGAAGGTGCCGGACCCCACGCCCTTGCTGCCGGCCACCTGGGGAGGGAGCGGTGGGGAGACGTCAGAGCCGGGCTGGCGAGGGGCCGGGCTGAGCCCGGGGACTGCGGGGGAACCCCCCCCACCCTCACCATGGGCACCCCGGTGCTGGGCTTGGCCAAAAAATGCATCCCCCTCTGCACGGTGCGCAGCTGCCCAAGGCCACCACAGGCACCTCGAGCCCCCACGGGCACCCCGAGCCCCCACGGGCACCCTGAGCCCCCACGGGCACCCCGCGGTGGCCCAGCTGCTGGCAGAGGAGCTGAAGCGGCCCTAGACGTGTTCTCCTCCTGCGCAACAACCCTGCCCGCCAAGAGCAAAGGTAAATATTTACCCAGGCCCCTGGTATTTGAACAGGCCGAGCTGCTCCCACGGAGCCCAGCAGCTGGATGCGGCCCCCGACGGCAGCAGGGGAGCGCAGCGCAGCGGGGGGACAGGGCTGGCCCCCCAAACCCCACGTCACTTGGGGGGAACCGTGCCCTTTGCATGTGTGGGCAGCTCCTGACACCGCAGCTCCCATTTCAGAGCCGCTGGTGCAGGATACGGGGTGCGGGATACGGGAATCAGCTCCCCCACCACCCCTGCACTGCCCCGGCCTCAGCCCCAACCCCGCTCCCCGTCCACGGCAGAAGGATGCCCCGACTCCGGCAGACGCGAGGGTCCGGCTGGGACGCGGCCGAGCCTGGGAAGGGGCAGCGCGGGCAGGCAGCGAGTCCCCTGCCTGCTGCCCAGGGCTGGGCAGGGGAAGCAGGTGCCCAAGGTCGCGGGGAGCTCCCCGGAGCCGGGCTGGGTCTGCCAGCACCGGCCGCGCACCCAGCGCCGCTGCTCCATCCAGGCATGAAAGTTACGCTCACCTCCAGCCGGGAGGGGACCGGCGTGGGGCGGGCTCCCAGGGCCACCCGTCCCCTGCCCCACCAGCTCCGTTAGCCATTAACCCAGCGGTCAAGGCACCTGCACCGAAGAGCGACGCCGGGCACGAGCAGCCCCGGGGACGGTGGCACTCGGCTCTCACCTGGCTGTAGGGGTTGGGCTTGCTGTTGGGTGACATGTAGCGCCCGTGGCTCTGGTACGGGGAGTACTCGGCCATGGGGTGGTAGGAGTCCTTCGTGCTGAACAGGTCCAGCTTCCCTCGGCTTTTCTGGTTGCAGGTGGTCTGGGGGGGAGAGGGAAGGGGTCAGGGGCCTGACGGCATGGGGACGGGGACAGGGACACACCAGCAGAAGGCAGGTGAGGACAGGGACGGGGACAGGGGACTCACCATCAGAAGGCAGTTGAGGATGCTCAGCAGCAGCAGGATACAGACCAGGACCAGCAGAGCAATGGCCCAGTCCGGGACCACAGGCACCGGTGCCGGGGACGTCACCTCCACAGTGCCTGAAAGAGGACCAGAGCCGTGTCCGTGCCGCAGGGCAGAGCCGTGGGGCCGACCGGGACAAACAGCCCTGAGAGACCCCCAGGACGGGGCGTGAGGGGATGAGCCCCCCTCTACAGGGTCCAATTGGTCTTCCCAGCGCTGTCCGCCACGGACACTGGGAAACTCCATTGGCTCTGCTGGCTGCAAGCCCTGAACCTGTCCCACCGCCCCGGCCAGGATGCGGCGGCTCTTGCGGAGCCCCCCCGAGCACCCCCACCCTCGCGTCCCCAGCCTGAAGCTCCCGCTCACTCTGGATGCTGGTCAGCTGCAGGTCCATGACGAAGCCATTCTTATCCAGGCTCTTCCTCAGCTGCTGCTCAACGGCGTTGCCGGTGACGGTGTCATTGCCGTGCTCAAACACGAGGGTGGACTGCACCGCCACCGAGCCTTGGCTGCCCGCGAGAGGAGGCGTTAGCGCCCGGATCACCGCGCCCCGCGAGGGGCTCTGCGCCGCGCAGCCGGGACGCGCCAGCCGCTGGCCCGCTCACCTGAAACGGAGCTCGCTGCACCCCTTGTAGGTCTGCTGGCCCATGCAGCTCGCGCAGCCAAAGACGGATTGGAACTGGAACAAAGCGCGGGGGTGACGGCCGCCTCCCAGCAGCCACCCCCTCCCTGCCATCCCCTCGCTGCTCCCCCTCACGGGGCCCCGGGGGCTGCCGAAGCGGCTGGTGGAGCCGATGCTCGGGGCGCTTTCACAGGGAGCCCCGAGGGGAGGCAGCTCCTTCCCAGCACAGACTGGGGCGGCTTTGCTTGCCCGGGGCAACCCGTGGGCAGGGCTGGGACTCACCACGGTCAAGACAGCGTGGCTCAGGCTCCTGTAGTCCTTCGACGTGGGGTCGCGCAGGCTCTCGTTGAAGCTCCTGTTGAGGATGCGGAAGGACAGCAGGACGCGGAGGAGCAACTGGGCCGTGGCTTTGCTGTGGTTGGGACCACCAGTGCTGCCCAGCACAGCCATGGGGGTCTGCCTGGGAGCCGTGCTGCCCTGGGCGGTGGCAGAGGTTTTCCACGTGGGGATGACCTGGGCGCTGCTGCTCCCGCTGCCTTTGGTGCCGGTGACGGGGATCACCGCCCCACCACCCGCGGGGGAGGTGGGAACCGCCGAGCTGCCGGCGGTTGTGTTGGTGCCGAAGGGGGGGACCCGGTCGCTGCTGTTCGTGGTGGCGTTGGCGTGGGAGACGGCAGCGCTGCTAGGGACGGGTGCTGCGGTGCTGTTGGCTGTGGCGTTGCCTGCGGAGGTGTTGCTGGATTGGACTTTTGTGATGTTGCCTGCGGTGAGGAAGACTGTGGTGTGGGAGGTTTGAGTCCCGTTGACGCTCGTGTTTTTGGAGATGGTGACGTTCGGAGCGGCGGTCGTAGGGGTGGTGGTTGTCTTGGTGGTTGTCTCCGTGGTGGTTGTGTCGGTCGTGGTTGTCTCCACGGTGGTCGTGTCGGTCGTGGTTGTCTCCATGGTCGTCTCTGTGGTGATTCTGTCAGCTGCGGTTGTCTCCATGATGGTCTTGTTGGCGTCCATGGCACGTGTACCTAGAGGAAGCACCAGGAGTCGGTGGCTGAGACTGCAGCGGTGCTTTGGGAAGGTTTTACACATCACGGCTCCTCGGCTGGACACCCCCCGGGCCACAAGGCACCGAGAAGCACCGTGATGTCCAGGAGCTGACCGCTGCCGGCTCCCGCTGCCCACGAGGCCAAGACCTTCGGGAACATCCCACAACTGGGCCTTGTGCTGGGCACACGCGGCACCACCGAGGGTCCACGTGGTGCCTCCTGGGTGGCTGGCACCAGCTCCGTGCCCAGCCCTGCGGATCCCCCCTGCTCCTGAGGGGACCCTGCCACGCTGGGGGGCTTAGGGACAGCCCCCCCACCCCAGTAAAACCTCCTTCGCTGCAGGTCGCTGGGCTGGGAGGGTGGGGTGCCACCCCGGCCCCGCACGGCCTGGCTACCGGCCAGCACAGGTGGCTCCTGGGCGGTTTCCCAGTGGGTGCCGCGGGAGCTGGTGGCACTGGAGGAGAGCCCGGGGTCCGGACGGCTCACCGAGACACACCTGCATACCAGCCTGGGAGCCCCGGGCGCAGCCTGCTCTGGCTGGCCCCGGCACAGCCCGGCTGCCCGATCCTTTCAGACACGGCTAAGAGGGGCCACGGCCACAGCGAGGTCCCCAGGTCCCGGCTTTGCCGGGGACAACCAGCCCTGGGGTGCTGCACGCCAGGGACCGGACCAGGAGAGATGGCGATGTCCCTGCCACCAGGGTGCCGAGGGCCACCGGCGCTGGCGTCCCCGCTCCCCGCTCAGAAAGTAGCCCAGGGGACCCCGCTCCCGTCCCCCTGCCCCGTTACCTCCCCGCTCGCCCGGGTCCCAGCCCGGCTCCCTCCGGCTCGGGGTCCCACCGGCCCCAACCCCTCACCTGCGCCCAGCACCAGCAGCAGCAGAAGGGCAGTGAACGCCATGGGGCTCGTCCCGGGGGCGTGATCTGGGGATCAGGAACTGGCGGCTCGGCAGCGGCGGGAGCTTTATAGAGCACCTGGAGCAGGTGGCGAGGCCCCACCCCGCCGCTGGCCCCGGGGAGGGGGGGTCCCTCCACCCCGCTTGACGCAGGGCACGGGGGTGCCGCCTCGCTGGTGGGGCCCCCATGGCATCCTCCCCCCCGCGCCGTGGGGGGACGCAGCCTCAGGTGGGGGCACGGGGAAGGGGCAGCAGCTGGGTGTCCCTGGGGAGGGGGGAGGGGAGCCACAGCCCCCAGGACCTGGTGGGGAGCACGGGGGCATGGAGCCCCCCAGCGCCTCGCTTGGGGGGAGCCTCATCCTCCGGCTCAGCCCGGGGTTAATCATTACCGGCCGGCCACTGCCTCGCCCTACGCTCAAATAAACACCGGTGATCCCCCCCCGAAATGCTTACGCAGGTGGGGCCCAGGGCCCCATAAAATCCCAGTACCTCCCAGTAACCTCCCCGCCAGGTCCCAGGGCCCCCCCCGGGCACGAGAGCCCCAGCGGGCGCAAGACCCCCTTCCCACTCAGGATGTGGCCCCTGGCCCAGGCTGACGGCCAGTGCCAAGCCGGATGCCGATGCTCCAGCCCCGAGGTACCCGGTGCCGCCCGTGCCAGGGCGCGGAGCCCCCGTCCTCCCCGGTGACACGGGCTCCTGGCACGGCCGGACCACACCGGCCTTTCTGGTCCAGGCAGGGCCCTGGTCGCGCCGAGCGGCTCGGCGGGGCTCCGCGGTCAGGCCCGGCCCCCGGCCCAGGCCCGGGGGGAGCCGACCCGCCAGCCCAGCCGCGCCGGGGGGGACCCGAGGCGTGGGTGCAAAGGGGGCAGAGAGGAGGGGACCCCCCTTGTGCTGCAGTAACAGCGGGGCAGGGACGGGCGGCCTGGGCGTCAGCGCTGGTGCGATGGGACCCAGCTGCGCCCCGTCCCCCGATGGGGTCCGCAGCCTTGGTGCCAGGCAAGGGGAACGCGGGCAGGGCGCGGGCAGGGGACAGGCAGGGGACAGGCAGCCAAGCTCTGGGGGAACACGACCTCCCCGAAACCCCTCAGCCGTGGGGAAGGGCAGCTCCCGCACAGCGATGCTGGCTCCCACCGCCCTCGCCCGGGTGGCCGCGCCCTCCCGCTCCACCACCGCCTCCTTCTGCCCCCCCGCGGCAGGGACACGCTGCGTGGGGGGCGGCTGAGGGAACGGAAGGGACCGGACACGCAGAGCCCCGTCCCCTCGAGGCACCCCAGCACCCCCGCTCCCGCGGCCCCCGGGCAGCAGCCCCGGGCCCCACGCGTG